ACACAATGATCTTGAGATATTTTTCTGATTGTTTCATCTCACAAAGTTTCTCCCCAACCAAACTTTGGGAAAGAAAGAGGGTGCGTTTCATTTGTGACCTAAACACCACTGATTTACAGCAAGTCCCTGTATTTATATAGCTTTGTTGATTTATACTTGCATCTGGAGGTATCAGAGCATCCCAAGGCCACGTTATCTGAAATATCACAACCATGACTCAGCAGGTCACACCGAGTCTGATGGTGGATTGGTGCTGAGGGGGAGACTTTCCACTTAGCTGCAAAATCCCACTAAAACTAAGAGTTGCAGTTGGACAGGAACCCGTAAAGCTCTATTACAAGACACATGGAGGTGTAGAGCGCCAAAATAAACCAGCTCCCCTTCTCCTCCTTGCTTTCTCCTCACTCATCTCTCTCTCTGCACCTGGATTCTCTGTGAATACTGCCAGCTGACAGAAACCTGGGGGAGAGTAGAGAGAGTAAGGAAAGAAAGAAAGACGCATTTGATGTATTTTAATAAAAAGTGTAGCTTAGTAGAAATAAAGGAGAGAGAGTGAAAGAAAGGGCAAGACAGGACATATCAGTAACTGAAGGACGAGGAGAGGGAAAAAGGACAGAAAATCTGAGATGCGTGAGAAGAGAGGAATGAGCAGGCAATGATGAGTCACCTACCATCCCAGGGCAATAATGTAACTGTTATCATTAGCCCTCCATAGACTTGACCCAACTTATTAAAAAAAATTCTCATTAAGTCAGGGTATCAGCTGCTTTCCCATTTCTTGTTTCCCACATCTCCAGTTATTTAATTATCCAGGATAAGGACAGCATTTTTTAATTTGACTGAATGTAGGCCTTTAATTAAGAGCACAAATTAGTTTCCAAAGACACAGAGATAAGCCCTGCTTAACAAGAACAGTCTGACATTTTGACTATTATTGTCTTTCTTGCAGAGAGTTAGATGAGAAGATTGATACCACTCTCATGTCTGTACAATAAATATGAAGCTAGTCTGCCAGGAGACTTTTAGCTTTGCTTAGACTGGAAATAGGGGGAAAATGGCTAGCCTGGTTCTGTCTGGTGGTAACAGAATTCACCAATCAGCACCTCTAAAGATCACTAATAAATGTGTGATAACTTATTTGTTTAGTCCATACAAAAACTACATTAAAAAAAAAGACAGGAATATTTCTTGGCAAGGGCCAGTAACTTCCTGGAGTCACATCTTCACTGCTAGCTAGCTGTGTTCTCAGATAACTGTCTCTTAGCTTCATATTTATAGTAGACATGAGTGGCATCAATATTCTCTGCGAGAATGCGAATGAGGCTATTTCCTAAGATTTAGAACTATTAATTTAACATCAGACTGCAAAAAGAGGAATAAACTTTGTGTTATTGCAAATACTCCCTGCTTAGATGGAGTTAGCTTTGAGTTACTCTTAATCATGATGCAATCTGAGTGACTAAAATCTTATTAAAATTCGCACAGAGTTCTTGATGTTGTTTATAGGCATCATAATAATTAAGCTATGATGTATGCCTTGCATGAGTAATCATTTCACCAAGCTGCATGTGGTGTTTTGAAATTTACTTTAGTTTTCACACACCCCTTTGTCAGCCAGAGGTAAAGATCACCAAGTACTGATGGCAATGTGTGTGTTACAGATCATGACAGTTGTATACAAGCATCTTGGCAGCAGTATATACAGTGAATTTAGAGGAGAAGTCAGCCTTGCATGGGAAAAGGGATGCTTTGTTGAGAACCGGCCAGAGAAAACCCTGCTTGGGCCCAAAGGAACAGCTGGGGAAAAATACTGAGTCACAAACGGCACACACAAAGTACAGGCTCTCCCACAGTAGTCCTGATCCTTTGGTTGGACTGTTATTTTTTTCCCCCTCCTTTTACTGTGGTGTAGATAGAGTTCAACACAAAAAGGGTTATGAGTTGACCCAGACGGTTTCCCATACAGCCGGAGCACAGAACAAAAATGATGGCGCTTCCTCAGCCTCTGAGGGCATAACCAGCAGTGTTACGCCAGTAAAAAGCCCCTCTTCTCAGCCACACGCACAGGGGAAGACCCCCCCGGACCTTGTGGCTCACCAAAAATATCAAAGTGTCAGTTCCAGTCATGCCATAAATTAATGAAAAGAAAGTGCAAAGGTTGGAGAGAGTGTAAAGAGGAGGAGAACAAACATGCAGTGATGATGTAGCCAGATATTAGATACATCAGTGGAAGAACAGACTTATTGAGAATTATTTGCGCAGTGGCCAATTCCAGTCACAGAGGCTGTTAGGTCAAGGTGAACTTTATTATCCCACAAAAAAGAAAGCTTTGTGTTATTGGGGAAATTCATGTGATCATACATGTCCGATTTAACACAGGTGTACATGCAGTACATTCATAGGGACATTTCTCCATAGAATACTTTGAGTACATTTTGCTACACTTCTGTATTTTTTTTTTTTTTTTACTTAAAAGGTAATAGTTCAACATTTTGGGAAATACATTTGCTTTCTTGCTGAGTTAGATAAGATCAATACTACTCATCTGTACAATAAATATGAAGCTGGAGCCTGCAGCTAGTTAGCTTAGCATAAAGACTATAGGCAGTAAACAGCTAGGCTCTGTTCAAAACAGAAGGCAGCTGCCTTGCTGCTGTAATAGACAGGTGTCACAGGTTTGTAGAACACTTAGCAGGTTACGTTCAAAAAGGGTTATTAAACAAACACAATGTGAGTACACTTACTTCAGAGTTCCAAAATAAAGTGATCCACAAGAAGATCCAAAATCCACAAAACGCAGGGAAACAGGATGACACGACAAGACAACACTAGGGAGGCTACACACCACAAAACACTGCAATAACCAGACATAGACTGAACAGAAACAGCAAACATTTAACACCATGGACTAACGAGCAGGCGGGAGAAACACAGGTGAGAGGAATCAGTACTAATGAGACAGAGAGACAAGAGACAGCAGCTGAAAACAGAGAGACAGGCAGGCAGAGGGATTACTCGAGGGTTACCATAAACACTCACAGAGAACTAAACTCAACAGAACAGATGACTATATTGCAGATACAAAACCAACCTTAGAGTCAAAAACCAAAACCCAAAAACAGAGAAACAAGAATCAAAATACAGCACACAGAGAACTGAGGACAGGATCGTGACAACAGGTGCCTCAGAAGGCATTACTTTTAAGTGATGGCATCTCTATGTACATTGGTTTCAAACAGCCTTTTAGTGCAGGCATTTATAGCAACTTGTGACGTCAGCACACCGTTTTGCGTCTCTTCTGGCTGTCACTCACTAGCCTTAGTGTTAGCTAGTTAGCTATTGAAAAGGTAAATGGTTAACAGACACCTCAGAAATCATGCTAAACAAACTTGGTTTGTTGCAGTTACGTGCTAATATGATAGTTCGGTGTTTAGTTCTCGCTCACTTTTCAAAAATCAAAGTGAAAAATCTAAAAACTTTTAAAAACCTAAATTTCGCCATCCACTGTCCTTGAGCAACCACAGGCGCACAGATTTATGGGTAATAGGCAGCATTGAGTCAGCATCAACGCTGCCTTTAAAACTGACCGTTAGGGGGGCAGTTTGAATGTATCTTACGAGGAAACGAATATTGGATTGAACAGCACTCGATCCGTTTCGAACAGCAATGTCCTGTTAGACACCTTCTGAGATAGCATTTTTACCTGTTTCGAGCACAGCCCCAGCCTGGCTCTGTCCAAAGGTAAAAACATCTGCCTACCAGCACCTGTAGATGGACTGTTGCTCCTCAACAGAGCAAACACAGACTTTTGCAGGTTTGCTGTCTTATGCGTCACTGAAACCTTAGTGAGTAAACTCCATGTCAGTATTCCAACTTCTCCGAGCAGACCAAGTAACTGAGGCATTTAGTGAAAATGGCATCTGTTTATACATGAAGGTTGGTCTAACCTACAGATGTCACAGCTTTAAGGAAATCACATTGTCAGTGCAGAGCTTTTAGTTTGAGTATTTTTACAGTGTGTTTTTTTTGGTATCTTTTAGAAAGCTATGCTTTGGGTAACATATTATAAAAGAAATAGCTACAGTTGACAAATTCATGTCTGTTTAATCAAATGTATTTTTTAAGCAAAAGGCATTTTCCACATGGGGTTAGGCTAATCTAGCATTTTACTACTTCAACCAAAAATTATAAAAATCTTTCACTCTAAACAATTAGGTAACTTATCTTAAGGCTCCCCTTAATGTAAATATACATATATATATAAACTGAACACAATAAAAAAAATGTACAGCTTATTTTAACTGACAAAAAATTAGATCAAATTAGGTCAGAATGGCTTTTATCAAATAATAATAAAAAAAAGTGATGAAACAGAAGACATTTTTAGTTCAGTGAGACAAGCGGCAGCAAGAAGAAATGTTGAGAATCCATATCCATATTTTATGACTTGTCTACAATGTTACAATGTTGGATGTTCATGTTAAACATGGCCAAAGCTTTAAAAGAAATCCCTGTCAGCCAAAACCTCAGATTTCCTCCTGTTCTGAACACTCTGTTTTGAACTGCTTTTTCTACTAATGGCTCAGTTCTACAGACTGAGCTGATATTCCATATATGGTCATTTGTTTTGCACAACTATGCTCAGTCTGGCTGTTCTGCTCAGCAGCAACAACAGTCTAGTAACATGACAGAAGCCAGTGGGCTTAAAAGAAGAATGTGGAAGAAGAATGAGAAGGGGGGCTTAAAGAGACAGGAGCATCTACAGCTTGTTTCAGACAGAGGGTGATAAGAAGACCTACATGAAGAGCCAGTATAAGATAGAAAATTTATTTTTTGAACTTTGAATCATGCAAAGCTTCCTTACAGGAGTCACAGAACAACAATATAGGACTGGAAAAGCAGTATAATAGGTCTCCTTTAAGTAAAGTGTCTGAATACTTGAAGAGCTAAGGCAAGATAATGCATGTAATTTATTTATATATGATTAAAATGACATGTTACCATGTGTCAACAGTTTATTATATATAAAATATGTACAATGCACAAAAAGCATGCAGTGTAAGAGCTACAATAGTCTGTCTAGATTTCAGTGGTTCTAGACAAAAGATGAATGAATGAGTTTGCACATCTGCTTATATTATCAGTCCCTCTTTATCATTCCTCTTGTGTGTCTCTATGTCTGTCTGTTGCTAAACATTGAAGACAAATGATCATTCTTCTCACTGGATGCACTCCAACACAAGCATTTATTTAATATTTTCATTAACTGTTGTTTCCTGTGATCTTCCCCATAAAAGCTAAGATGCTTAGATATATATGTTATTATAAATGGAATAATGGCATAATTTGACAGGGCAGGATAATGCTTTTGAACAATCTTACCACACACACACACGCATCACATCAACATATATTTATGGAGATATAAGGTAAAATACTGTATGCAAGTTCACTAAAACAGTATGTGGTCAAATTTTAATGCATAGGAAACAAGAAATCTCTTTTGTAAACCTCTATTTTTACATCTCTGGCCGAGGAACAGTGTTAACCTCAAGATTAATAATTAAAACACAAATCAACCACACCCTCGAACTGTGTGTCCACAGGGGAGATGAGATATTTTAAACAAAAACACCTTTTTCAAATTTCCATAAGAACAAAAAGTTATTTATTTCTCTAAGCATTACCATTGTTGAGGTTCTGCACTGTCCTATCTGGCTTCTCATTGATCATACTATGTCAATGATTAGACATCCTAGAACGGTGAGCTTCTGCATTAACTTTATTTAATGTAAAGTTATTTAATTTAAGTATAAGAGTGTTCAGCTTTTCAGGTTTCTAGAAGCAAAAGCATAAAGGAGTGGATTCAGGCAGCTATTCACAAATACTAGTGCTCCAGTGACGTTCCAGCTGTTTATACAAAACTTTAAAAGGCCCTGGTTGTTGAGTGAAAAAGCTGCCACACCAAGAATATTCATTATAAGACGAGGCATCCATAGGACAAAAAAGGTCACAACAATACTTGTGACCAGACGGGTCGTCTGTGGGTTGTTGAAGAAAGCTGCCTGGTTCACTTTTCTGTGGAGGCGAATGTATGAAAATGCTACGACAGAAGATGAAACAAATCCCAGCAGGGACTGAATCAGCAGCACAGCTACATTCCGGGTTTGGGAAAAGTAGTCAGATTTGCATTGTGTCCAGTCCTGGTCTGTGGTCACCTGTCGAACCACTAAAGCAGGGATGGACAGGATCATCGCCACAAGCCAGAGCAGAGCCAGCAGCCTCTTCCTCCCGGCCTGATGTAAGCACTTCTGCAGATACACCACCTGTAGGTAGCGCTGGACACTCAGCACCGTCACAGTCAGCAGGCTACCATAAAGGCTGCAGTACACTAGATACGCTAGGAGCTTACAGGCCATCAGGCCGAGGGTCCAGCTGTACAGAAAAGTATAAATCCACACTGGCAGGGTGAGCAGGCAGAGCAGGTCTGATATGGCCAAATTCAGCATCAAACTCTGGCTCACACTGGACAGGTGCTGCCAGTTTGGTTTGAGGATGATCACAGCGATGTTTCCGGGAACTCCCAGCAGGAAGCAGAGGGACAGCATCACAACAGGGACCAGACCTCTGGAGTCCCAGGAGTCGGGAGGTGGATATCCAGGAGAAGAGGAAGTGTTAGAAGTGACCACAGTGGAGTTGAGTTGTTCCATGCTGCAAACCTGCTGGCAGAGAAGCTGAACGTTGTGCACTGAGCGAGTGATGATGGTAACTGTGTGGTCAGTCAGAGGAAGATGTTTTGATGCTTTCAAAAGAGGAACAACAAAAAAAGAAATAATGACTTGCTCCATTGCGGCTGCATAAATTTGCAAGACTACATTATCAGATGCATTTCCTCATGTTCTGTTTCCTGCACAGGAAACAGCTTTTCACAACACCTCCATAGAAGTAAAAATAAACAGTCTATGAATGTTGAGTGCTACTCATATTTGCTCAAATTAAAATTAAATACATGATGCACACACATGCTTTCACCATAAATGTAGTATATATATTTTCAATATAATGTTCATCATATTTGTCACATGAGAGTGACACTTGGAGGCGTATAAAATCTCAGTTCCATGTCAATATTTTGACTTTTTAATAAATTTTCAACAAACCTCAATTTTTACATCTTTGGCTGAAGACCAATTTTAACCTCAATAGTCATCATTAAACCCAAAATTATCTACAGCTCTCTGTGACAAATGAGAGAACCACACACTCAAACTGTGTGTCCACTGAAGAGATGAGATGTTTTGACCAAAAATACCTTTTTTAATTTTCACAAAAAATGGGTTTTTTTTCTAAGCATTTTTTATTGTTTAGGTTCTGCACTCTCTACTATAGATCATACTATGTCAATGTTTAGACTTCCTGGAACGGTGAACTTGCGGTTCAGTTTTGTTGGCGTACAGTGCACATGTTTCTAGAAGCAAAAGCATAAAGGAGTGGATTAAGGCAGCTATTCACAAATACCAGCGCTCTAGCAATGTCCCAGCTGTTTGTACAAAACTTCAACAGGCCCTTGTTGTTGAGTGAAAAAGCTGCCACACCAAACACATTTATGACAAGATGTGGCATCCATAGGACAAAAAAGGTCACAATTATACTTGCGACTAGCCGGGTCGTCTGTGGGTTGTTGAAGAAAGCTGCCTGGTTCATTTTTTTTTGGAGACGGATGTATGAAAACGCAACAACAGAAAATGAAACAACTTCCTGCAGGGACTCTGTCAGCAGCACGGCTACATGCTGGGCCTGGGAAGAATAGTCAGATTTGCAGTGTGTCCAGTCCTGGTCTTCGATCACGTGTCGAACCACTAAAGCAGGGATGGACAGGATCATCGCCACCAGCCAGAGCAGAGCCAGCAGCCTCTTCCTCCCGACCTGATGTAAGCACTTCTGCAGGTACACCACCTGTAGGTAGCGCTGGACACTCAGCACCGTCACAGTCAGCAGGCTACCATAAAGGCTGCAGTACACTAGATACGCTAGGAGCTTACAGGCCACCAGGCCGAGGGTCCAGCTGTACAGAAAAGTGTAAATCCACACTGGCAGGGTGAGCAGGCAGAGCAGGTCTGAAATGGCCAAATTCAGCATCAAACTCTGGCTCACACTGGACAGGTGCTGCCAGTTTGGTTTGAGGATGATCACAGCGATGTTTCCAGGAACTCCCAGCAGGAAGCAGAGGGACAGCATCACAACAGGGACCAGACCTCTGGAGTCCCAGGAGTTGGGAGGTGGATATCCAGGAGAAGAGATGATGTTAGAAGTAACCACAGTGGAGTTGAGTTGTTCCATGCTACAAACCTGCTGGCAGAGAAGCTGAACGTTATTGACTGAGCAAGTGATGATGGCAACTGTATTTTCTCATATTCTGTTTCCTGCACAGGAAACAGTTATTCACTGCAACACCTCCACAGAAGTAAAAAAAAGGGTGATATAACTTGATCACTACACTACTAGATATACTGCCACAGTGAACTGACAAATCTTTATCAGGCAGTCCATGCGCAGTTTTTGAACTGTCAGCGCTGGACTCTGGGGTGGGACTCTGTTTTACATCTATTATGCTTGGTGCTCAAATGCTGTCAAGATGGAACCTGTATCCCAAATGTCTGACTTTTTATGTAAGGATGACGACCACATTATCATGTTGTTATTGCTGTTTAAACTTTTGTTATTGCTGTTTAAACTTAAATTCACTTGAAATCAGTAGGGGAGGCCCGCAGAAAAAGGTCTCTCTCTCTCTCTCTCTCTCTCTCTCTCTCTCTCTCTCTCTCACTCACTCACACTCAAACTGCTACACTGAAAAAGGAATTAGCTCTGACAGTTATATTGACAAGCAAGCATGCTAAGACAACCAATTATGATTTGACCCCCTCTCCCTTTCAGCATTCTGGACAGTGCTGTTCCTTTAAACAGTTCCTAAGGACTTCACAATTTCACAGCACAAATGTGGAGCTTACAGTAGGGTAATTACATGGCACAATATTTGCCAAAAAGCATGTACTTGCCAGCATATAGTGCTCTTTATAATCTCAGAGATTGACCGAGTTTTTATCCCTAAATTGCTATGTATATAAATAAATGTTGTTTCATTGTTTATTTTAAATGTTAACTTGAATATATATTTAATTATTTGTTTAGTTCTGTGTGTGACTTGTGGTCTCTAAAATTTTGACATTATGCTATTTTTGCCATTCATTTCTATTTTTCTGTATCATGGATCATGCTTAAAAGAAGGAGCTTTCTGGCTTTATCTAGCCGAAGAGAGTGATCACCTACAGTCCACAGTGCACCGGTCGATTCCTTGCACCGTCCACTCCAGCGCCCTGCTCCCTCTCTGGTAGACCTATAGGTTGTGTTACTAGTCCGGTGCGGTGCGATGGTCGATGATCAGATACAGAAAACTAACAGACAGCAACTGCCACAGGGCACTGGGCCAGGTTAGGCTACCTGAATAATTGTTTATACTCTGCTGGTCTAGTACTCGGTTGTTAGTCTTCAGTGATGTTGCGTTATGAACATTTGGCCAAGCATTAAGAAGTATATAGGCCTATTTGATACTATGCAAATGTCTTCAGGTTACCTGCAAAGTCCACTGAGTCAATTTTCAAAATAAAATACCGTGTGCAGACTCCCGATCGTAAAACAACAATAAACCATTTAACTACGTAGCCTACATGATCATAGTGGAATCACAAAGAGCAAGCACTGATTACCAAATCAAGAAAATCTAAACATGTCAGCAAAATCAGGCAGGCAACATACTCTGATTCTGAAATGCTCCCTGTGGATATGCAGCCTGCATACGACGGAACGAAACAGGGTCACAGAGAGCTGTGAAGAAGGTAATAGAAGCACAAAAGTGACAAATAAACAACAAGCCAATTCTAAGATGCTTCAAGTAAACGTTGACGCTGGGTTGAGGACGTAACAAAACCGTGGCGCAGCCTGAGTCAGTGGACTTCTGGAGTAAGACTGTGGAGAAAAAAAAGACAGTGACTTGACAACAGCATTGAAATGTCACACCTGTGGCTTTTCACCTCACACAGACATCGTTCTGCCTCCGTAACTACCAACATTCCCGGCTCAGAGGCGGATCACATCGGACCCCCCTTCCGGCTCCCATACAGCGCAGCGAGCCAGCATATGGGCGTAATTATCCCGGATAAGGCAGTGGGAAAGCGCCTTGTGTATCATGGCTGGCTGCAGACATCTGACGTCCAGCACCATACTGCATTTAGAGGTCGAGCACAATTAGACAATGAACAGCACCTGTGACAATTTGCTCTCCCTGGCTCTGCTCACCTGAGCCACCTCCCCATACTGCAGCTGAATGCAAACCATGCCCACCTCCAGAGTGGTATTGCTACTTTTGCTTTAAGGTTCAGTGTGTAATATTTCTGAGGGTCTTTTGACAGAAATGCAATATGAGATCCATAACTATGTTTTCAGCAGTTTATAAAGATGTTACATAATGAATCGTTATGTTTTTATTACCTTAAATTTAGCCATTTCTATCTACATAACCGTGGGTCCCCCCTTCCATGGATGTCGGAGCGCGTTGCGTCACTATGTTCTTCTACTGGTAGAATTCAGGCAGAGTAGATGCCTATCACTATGTTGAATACGTATGTTAGAACAAGAAGAAGAAGTAAAAATATACAGCAGGTGTTGGCAAACGAGTTTTGCAGCGGAGCAATTTTTTAAACCATTAGATGGTGGGTGAGAATATAGGGCAAAATATTACATGTAGTTACTATGGTGTTTGGTTAGCTCAGTTGGTAAAGGGCAGGACTGTCACATTCAAATTGTGTGCTCAATCATACCTTTAGCCATTTTTTTTTTCTCTTCAACTAACGGATTCTGCAGCGACTGTTTCTTAGGCTCACATTACTGCGAGTGCTGCAGTGTGTTTGTGTTCTGGTGTTTGATCCACATCCACCAACCTACTGATAACTTTTCAATTTCCCCAGTATCTCCAGACAGAGGAAATTTAGGGGAATCGCGTTCTCTAACGGCTCTTTCAGAGGTGTGTCAAGCAGGCTATAGATCTTTTAATGTCGTTCAGAATTTTTCAAAGTAAAATCTCTCAATTAAACTCCAAATAAGACATTACAGTAAAAAGTAAATACCACTTATACAAAGACATCAAAGATAAACGAACATTTAGGACTCATCCGCAGCAGTTAATAAGTAGGTCTTAAGCTTTGATTTAAAAACCTCAATTAAACATGCCAGTCTAATATCTGCTAGAAGACTGTTCTACAATGTTGGAGCATGGAACGAAGAGGCTCGCTCACCAACCGTTTTCTTCCTAACCTACAGTCAGAAGTCCTGTCCCGTGGGAGTGCAGCAACCGTGTAGGCACATTAGAATTCAAAAGATCAGACAGATATAATGGTGCAAGGCCATTCACTATTTTGTACATTGACAACAAAACCATAAAATCTGCTCTAACCATAACAGGGAGCCAGTGCAGTGAGACCAGCACAGGAGTTATATGCATGTATTTAGATGACCCAGTCAGAATACGTGCTGCAGCATTGTGGACCATCTGCAGACCTCGCAAACTTTTCTTATGCAGCTCTGAGAACAGTACATTACAATAGTCCAGCCTAGATGTAACAAACGCATGAATAAGGGCCTTAGCATCTTTAAGTGCCAAATCTAATCTAATCTTTGAGATTCTTCAGAGGTGAAATAAGGCTACTTTTGTCACCTCTTTAATATACAAATCAAACGAAAGTGATCGATCAAAAATAACCCCAAGATTCTTTACTTTATCCTTGCAATGAATGACCGAATCATCAATGGATAGAGTAAAATTGTCATACAAATGACTTAATCTAGCTGGACCAATAGCATACCAATATCATCTCAGTTTTGCTGCGCTGAGTAGCATGAAGTTTGCTGATAACCAGCATCTCACAGCAGCCAAGTAAATGCTCCGTACTTGTATAGCGCCTTTCTAGTCTTCTTACATCTGCATTCACCAGTCACACTGATCCTAAGTGCTCAAACGGAAACTAACATTCACACTCACTCATACACTGGCAGAATAGCCGCCAGGGGCAATTCGGGGTTCAGTATCTTGCCACTTGACACTTCGACACGCAACCAGGGGGAGCCCGACCTTCTGATTAACGGCCAACCTGCTCTACCTCCTGAGCCACAGCCGCCCCATTTACACTGCCGCTCGCACTTTAGAGGTACCGACACAAGCACATCAATAACTTAACAGAATCAGATGCAATTTCCTGCAATAATACATTTGTAAATTATCAGCATAGCAATGAAAAGTTATCCCAAAAGAACGAATGATCTGACCCAATGGCGCTAAGTATAATGAAAACAACAAGGGGCCAAGGACTGAACCCTGTGGAACCCCGTGCGGAAGTGGGATAAGGATTGGACAATGTGTTATTATAAAACACACATCTTTCTGAAAGGTAAGATTTCAACCACATAAGCCCCTGGCCAGAGATGCCAAAGTATTTCTCGATTCTGTCCAAAAGAATACAGTGATCCACTGTATCAAAAGCCGCGCTAAGATCCAACAACAAAGGGACAGATGTTAAATCTAAGTCAGCAGCCACTAACAGATCATTTACCACCTTTGTGAGTGCCATTTCAGTAGTATGTTTTGCTTGAAAAGTAGAATGCAGCGGCTCAGAATGATTATTAGATGACAGATATTTTAAAAGCTGATTTGAGACCACTTTTTCAAATACTTTAGATAAGAAGGCCATATTAGAAACAGGTCTAGAATTTTTTGTTTATATCCAGATTTGGTTCCTTCAATGATGGTTTAACCACAACAGATTTGAATTAAGCTGGAAAATCTCCTGTGAAGAGTGAAAGCTAAACATACAATCCTAAGGTTGGCTATAGTTCCTTAACAACCCAGGCAGGCAAGGGATCCAGAGAGCATGGACCTCTTGCAGTCACAACAATTTTAGTTAAAGAGGTTATGCTCATTTTCAGGTTCAAAATTTTAATTAGGGGTTGTACCAAAACAGGTTTACATGGTTTAATTTTCAAAAAACACCATATTTTTCTCATACTGCACGTTGCTGCAGCTCCTCTTTTCACCCTATGTGTTGTATGCTCCGCTCTTGCGCTACAGAGTGATGCATCTTACTTTGTTGGGAGTAGTATTAGGACCCAGCTCGTTAAGGTAAGGCAGTGATTTGGGATTGAAATGAAGGCAGTAAAGGACAACTGAATTCCGGTTAAAGTCAAAGGTTTAAATAAATGAGTTGACTCAAGAAAACACAACAAAAAGAGGCTATATAGGTACTGACAACAAAAAGGAGAAACAAAAGGAGGTCAGCACCTATATGCTTTACAATAATACAAAGTAAACAAACAATGCTCAAACAAAAGAGCGCCCAACACTTGGTGCACTATCACACTATGTGATTTACAAAGGTTCGAACTGACTGAAACCACTTAGACAGGCAAGAGAGAAACAGGAAATACAAACACTCTAGATATTTCATTAACTAACAGAGATAAGCAACCCCAACTGATCACTGGTTCACAGTCGCCTGAACTGTGGACACACAAACTATTTGTAGTCCAGCTGGTGTTGATTGGAGAGTCCAGGTTGGCAAGGTCGGTAGAGTCACAGCCACACGAATCACAGAGTCCCAGCTCCAGAGGAACCAATCCTCGTAAGGGACTCACACAGCTGGAATTTGCATGACAGTCAGAAGCACTCAGGAACACAATTACTTTAAGGCAGCCAGCGGCGGCCGTAACAAGTAGCACATGCGCAGTTCTCAGGTAAGGACTACTAGCCAATCAGAAGCAGAGAATGGCGGGTTGTAAGAAACAAGGTAGTAGGCCTGTATGAGATCAGAGTAGAAAAGAGGTGCGCAACAACCCTGTGTCAGTGTGTGCCTGAAGAACATTACCAACAGCAGAGACCTTCCCCCCACACTATGGAGAATCACCCAAAGTTTTCTGAGGAGTGATTGTAAAGTTCAGTGTGGTGGCTCCAGTTCTTACTCAAAGTGACTATGCCCTGAATTATGCCCAACTTTATGCCATAGTATTATTTCCCCATAGAGTTGTCATGAATGGGGAAACATGCTTATTTATGCTGTAAAGTTGGGCATTTTAACATGAGGTTCTATGGAGATTGATTCGCTTTTGGAGTCAGCCTCAAGTGGCTGTTTGGGGAACCGCAGTTTTTTGCACTTAAACCTTTGTTTCCTTTTTCAGTTGCAGAGGTTTCTGCTTGGTTTTACTGCAACTTTGATAAGCCCACACTCACACCCCTCACCTGAATTAAACAACCATTTACAACCCTTGCCACCCTATCACACCTCCCCACTGATCCCCTACCTGCACTCAGGATCGACAAAGAGGACGTTTGTGAGCTCTTACAGAGACGGAAGATCAGGATGGCACCATCCTTGGATGTTGTGTCAATCCTGTGCTCACCAAATGGCCCCCATCTTTACAGGGATCTTCAATAGATCACCAGGGCCCAGTTGTTCAAAAGTAGTCTGATCAGATTTGGGCCGTTGCATTGGATCAAATCTGGAAAACAGGTTGTTGAAAAGAAAAAAAGGATTCTGAAATCGGATTAGATCGCCCAATCCCATCTTGGTTTTGATTTGGATCAAACCTTCAGTATGTGTTGTTCAAAACATTTTAGTAGGATTGGGCTACCTTTGATCCAAAATAAATAAATAAAATAAAATCAGGATTATCCCGATCCCAACAAAAGTCCGGTCAGTTCCTTATTCTGAGAACTGCCTCCGAAAATCTAAAAGATGGTTTACAAATGAAGAAGAACTCTGAACGTTCTTTATTTTGTTAACTAAGGGAAATTAACCTTTTTATGATTTACAACACATGCTCAAAATATCCACAGTGTATTTGTAATATATTTCTGTGTAAGTACATTAAGACAATACAAACAAGTCAAATTCCTTCCTCCTTACAATAAAGCTGATTTGAGTGTAATTCACAGCCGTTGTAAGGACAGCTGTATACATGCATTTATTAAGATTACATAACTTATGATCAAAAACTAACAAATCAACAACTTTGCTCTCAGCCTCTCTTTTTCTCTTTTTAGCTTCCTCTGTCAACATCCTCTTTGGTCTCTTCGCCTCTGCCATTAGCGCTAACATTATGTCCATAGAGGCTGCTAAGCCTGGTTATGCTGCCCACTTGCGTGGCTCTGGCTTGGCATCGGCACTGCTCACCACCAGCTGTTATTTTAACATACAATTACTACAAATGTTGCTAAGTAACATTGTCAGTGCAGAACTTTTAGTTTGAGTATTTTACTGTGTGCTATTGTTACTTTTACAAGTACAAAAAGTACAAAAGCCCACTAATCATCCTTTTGAAGAGATAAAGCAAGAAAATGCATCATATCATTTTATTAATCCATTTACTGTATTTCATAATATGTTTACAATGATATGTTTCAATGTGTCAGACAGAAATATATACAATATACAAATCATGCAGTGTAAGAGCTGAAATAGATTTCAGTAGTTCTAGACAAAGATAACTGAATGAATGAGATTGCACATCCGCTTATATTATGAATCCAGCACAATCTCTATCTCTCTATCTTTCCTCTGGTCTGTCTCCATGTCTGTCTTCTGCTAAACACTGGAGACAAATGGTCATTCACTCCAACAAAAACATTTATTCAATCTACTCATTAAGTGTTGTTTCCTCTGACTGGATCTCTCCCACAAAGCTAAGATGTTTAAATATATGTTTAATGAGCACAAAGCTGATTTGAGGTTAACCTCTAAATTTATCATTAAATCAGAAATCATCCACAGCTCTCTATGAAAAATGAGACAACCACACCCTCAAACTGTGTGTCTACGGAACAGATGAGATGTTTTGAATAAGAACAAATTTATTTTCTCTAAGCATTATCATCGTCGAAGTTCTGCACTCTCTTCTGATATCTGGTGGCTTTTCATTGATCATACTATGTCAATGATTAGACTACCTGGAAGTTTTTTGGCATACAGTGCACATGTTTCGAGAAGCAGAAGCATAAAGGAGTGGATTCAGGCAGCTATTCATAAATACCAGTGCTCCAGTGATGTTCCAGCTGTTTGTACAAAACTTCACAAGGCCCTTGTTGTTCAGTGAAATAGCGACCACAGCAAACACATTTATGATATGATTTGGCATCCATAGGACAAAAAAGGTCACAATGATACTTGTGACCAGACGGGTCGTCTGTGGGTTGTTGAAGAAAGCTGCCTGGTTCACTTTTATGTGGAGGCGAATGTATGAAAATGCTACAACAGAAAATGTAACAAATCCCATCAGGGACTCTGTCAGCAGCACGGCTACATGCTGGGCCTGGGAAGAGTATTGAGACTGGCATTGTGTCCAGTCCTGGTCTTCGATCACCTGTCGAACCACTAAAGCAGGGATGGACAGGATCATCGACACCAGCCAGAGCAGAGCCAGCAGCCTCTTCCTCCCGGCCTGATGTAAGCACTTCTGCAGGTACACCACCTGTAGGTAGCGCTGGACACTCAGCACCGTCACAGTCAGCAGGCTACCATAAAGGCTGCAGTACACTAGATACGCTAGGAGCTTACAGGCCATCAGGCCGAGAGTCCAGCTGTACAGATATGCGTAAATCCACACTGGCAGGGTGAGCAGACAGAGCAGGTCTGATATGGCCAAATTCAGCATCAAACTCTGGCTCACACTGGACATGTGCTGCCAGTTTGGTCTGAGGATGATCACAGCGATGTTTCCAGGAACTCCCAACAGGAAGCAGAGGGACAGCATCACAGCAGGGACCAGACCTCTGGAGTCCCAGGAGTCGGGAGGTGGATATCCAGGAGAAGAGGAGGTGTTAGAAGTGACCACAGTGGAGTTGAGTTGTTCCATGCTACAAACCTGCTGGCAGAGAAGCTGAACGTTGTGCACTGAGCGAGTGATGATGGTAAATATGCTGTCAGTTAGAGGAAGATGTTCCCCTATGATGCGTTCAAAGAGGAACAAATAACAAAGAAACAGTAATTAGAGATGCAAAAATGATCACATGCTGCATTGTTTTGTAAATTATCAGATGTATTTTCTCATATTCAGTTTCCTGCACAGGAAACTGCTTTTGACCCCACCCTCACAGAAGTAAAAAAAAAAAAAAACAGGTATAAAACTGTAGCACTACTTTTTATATCTAGATATACTGCCACAGTGAAGAGGCCTCATCTTTAAACGTGAAGTCATAGTCTTTTTCACACAGTAATCCCAATTTGTTTGGGACATCACTCATGTTTGCTTCTAATAATAATAATACAAAAGCACAAGCTGCAAACTTCTTCGGGCTGGCCATAAGCCCTGCCCACCTCAAGAGAGAGAAAGCAGGAAGAGAGTGGAGGTGAAGATGTAAGCAGGGAGTAGCTCAACCTGTTTGAACCTGTTTGAAATGGTAGATATTGTCCCCGTCACTTTTTGAAAGCATTTGTTAAAAATGTTCTAAAAAAACTTGTACCAAGAAATGATAATTAACAAATGAAAATTCTTTGAGAAAGGTTCTTTTGCGCACTAAGAAAACCTGCAATGCAATGTAAATTTAGAAGAAACATCTGCATTGTCCAAAAATAATAATTTAAGCTAAAAAATAATAATGAGCTACTGATTACTGCATTATATTATATTATAATTTTATAATCTGGATTGTCATCGGCCACCTGAATTTCATGTTTCCCTCTATATAAATAACCTTACCTTAATAATACCTTAAATTGGTGCAGATAATGTCTCCAGAATGCAGGAAATTAAGTGTTTAATGCTCAAAATCTTCTGAGGGAGAAACCCCCACACCTCCCCAATCATATATTTAATCAATAATTACTTTTTCTAAATAGTATTAAAATATACTCTTGTCTTCTTCTCATGACCCCAATTCTGTGCAATGTCACGTCTCATGGTCAAGTGTTTTGTCACATCTGAGCCCCTAAATGTCCTTACCTTTTCAAAACAAAGTGACACCCTTTGGTAGGGTGTGTGCCATGCTACAGTAAAAATGATGATTACTTCAATTAAAAGGTAAATGATAATAACATAATCATAACGCTATCATAAAGTGACACTGTCACCTACTGCTGGTGATCACTCACTGTCAAACAGTGCTGCATAAGCTATTGACATTGTTTTTGTAGCTAACATAGTTTCCTAAAGCAGTCGTAACTTTGGCTAACTGTTTATTATTTTATTATTATTTAACGTAGAGGAAACCCAGACACAGGTGTTGCTGATTTGGGAAGCAAACAGTTTTTGACTGTGCTAGCGTCTAGCCTGGGGGTGAGCAAGGCACCACGGTGTTTGGTTACATGTATTACGAGTTAAGATATTGCCACTGTATGATATATGGAGGAAAATAAACTTGCTAGAGAATAGTAACATCACCGAAGTCCCCGTTTGATATTTGAGACGCTGCACGGGCACACGTCTAAACTTAATCCGCTGTATTAGCAACCAGTTACTAGACTTTGTTTAGGACTTAGTCAGTACAAGTTGTGTACTTCATGGCCACTCTGATCACCATGGAGTCAGTAAATTAATGTGAATGTGTAGGCTACATTTAACAACAGTAGGTACACATGTTATATGAAAGCATGGTGTATTGGTGAGGGGTGTCCCAGTCCAGCCCTGTTCATAGATTAAATAGATTAAATAGATTAATTAGATTAATTCGATTACTAAAAAGCACTGATGCAAATTCTTTGCGCCGCCGCCACCAAGCAAAAAAAAGTCAAGAATTAATTTGAGAAGCTAAATTGATCCTCAACTCACTGTTGATCGCTGGCTGCTTGGTCATCACAAAAAAACGTAAAACTTATTTTAAAAAAAGCTCAAAATATTTTATGTTTTTACTTTATAAAGAAATGAAATGAAATATTATAACTGCCATTAAAAACAAAACTGAATCGTTTTGTTGGCTGCAACAGTAAACTGTGTTTGGTGAGGAGAAAAAAAAAACATGGGCAGAGAATTCTGATAAGCTGTCTGACAGGGGCCGGGCTAGGGCCTGAGCATCTAGGGCCAGGATAGGGCCAGGCTAGGGCCTAGATTTGAGGCCCATGCAGGGTTCTAGTGAAGGCTATGCAGATCTCTGGTCAAGCACTGAATGAAATGGTGAACGAATCTTTTGAATGAATCTTTTGAATTAACTGATACTAAATATAAAGAACTGCTTTGCCCATCACTAGAGGCTAAAACCAGTTGCTGTTGGAGTCTTTAGGGTGGAAATATGGAGCACATCAATGACAACAAAGGACGGGACTTCAGGTAATGAGGAGCCTGGCTAAAGTCTTTATTGGAGAAATAACAGGCCAATAGACAAAGAGACAAGGCCTACCTGGAACATAAAAACCTGACATGCGGTCTGGCTGAAACAAAGGCCTAGAACACAACAGAAATCCCCTGGCAGTTAATTCACACATAAACTTAAATTTAAGTTGAAAACCAAACTGAGGGTTTCTATTAGCCGAGCCTTCACATAGACGGAGGAAACCTGGAAGTGTGGCCATTTTGTGACCGAAGACATTAAAAGAATCCGAGCTCAGAGCTATCGCCGTTCCAAGCTCATCAGTGACCTGAAAGAGGTAAACATATTCCCAGCTGCACCAGCAGCTAAAGGAAGTATTTTATTTCAACCCTGAACTTGCTTTTACTGAAAACAGACCTAAACTTGTCAGATGACATGCTCTGTTTGATTTTTTTTACCTCTCTTTTTTTTATGTAGCTATTGTAACTAGGGTTCAGGAATAAGACCACGCCTCTCTCTCTCTCTCTCTCTCTCTCTCTCTCTTCACTAATCTGTGCCTCACTTGTGCCTCTCTAATCCATCACCTGCACATATGATATAAGCCTGTCTAACCCCTTCCTCTCGTTTGTCAGTTCTCACATGCCTCCCCCCAAAACCCTGTTTCTCACCTCTTTCAATGGGCAGCACGGTGGCCCCGGTGGACAGCACTTGGCCTCACAGCAAGAAGTTCTGGGACCTCGGTCAGCTCAGGCTGTGTAGTTCCATGTTCTCCCGACATACGGGGGGTTCCCCGGTCGCTCAGGTTTCCTCCCACCATCAAAGACATGCATGCTAAAATCATAATTCTGGCAAAGTAATTGTTCTTTTTCTACCACAGGAACACAGGGGCAAGACGCTTTCCGGCCACACAACCTAGATCAACCCCCTCATCCCTACCTTCCCCTCGACCAGTCCGTCTTTTCCTTTCTGAACCTTCTCTCTAACCAAATAAACTGGTTTTAACTCAATTGGCGTGGTCTTAGTGAAACTTGTGTTAACAACACATTTTTGGATCCTAAGGAAGCCGTTATACACAAGATAAGGCTTCATACTTGAAGAAAAGAACACTTGTTCTATTAACGAAGGAAGGAAACTTTCTGTACCTGAAAGTCAACTCCACTGATTTGCGCCGTTGCTGAAGGATCACCTGTGCCGTTGAAACTGTCAAATCGTCAGAACCGAGAAAAACACCGCTGGATTTCCTAAAGGATTGATGCAACCTAATCATTACCAAGCGCGATCACGTAAGAGACTTTTTATGTCTGGGCAGAAGATAGTTAAAAACCGTTGTGTTTATTATTGCTGTGTGTTTTTCCATGTTACACACTTTGACTGCATTCGGTACCACCTGCTTTGTTACTATTACTGTTTGAAAAGTTTGTTTGTGTTGTGCTTAGAAAAGTTAATAGTGATTGTTTGCTAAAGCTGATGATCATAATGTATGCCAAAGTTGAATAAATCCTATGATATTTTTAAGAAGTTGTGAGCTGTGATTATTTGGTTATAATGTTGGAGTCAGTTACCGTGGCCAGTGTTAAACCGTCTCGATTTGCCATCTATAGGTGGACAACCCTTTTGATTGATCATACAATATTTGGTTCATATTTGGTTATTGGTCCCTGATTCCTGCTGGTGCCCCGCTTTTATTAATTATAATTAATCATTTTTGAACATTAATACTTATTAATATTCTAGAATATCTTTGATATTCAGCTAACAACCAAACCTGACCCCATGTTGAAATCCCCAACAAATACAAATACCATACTCCGTTTCTGCACCTGGACCAAATATTCTTGTGATATAACTGACCCAATGTCTAGCGTTTGCTGTCAGGTCCAGTCAGTGCGGGGTTCTAGACCAATTTTATTAAGGGGGCCATGCTGGGGCCAATTGTTTTCTCAGGGGGGTCCATTCCATCCGGGACAAAAGAGACAAAGGCAATGTTCAAGTTTTCAAAATGTCTTGTTTAGTATATAATGTAATGTTTAGTATATTTCAGTAACTACAATTTGTTTCAGTAACAGGAATTTTCAGTGACTTAGTTATAATTTTATAAATTACATTACACAAAAAAACAGTTACAGGACATTCTTGATGCAACACTTCTTTGTAGGGCTTAATGAACAGTATCAGCTCTAGTGTACGAGACTTCTATGGATCTCATTTGTATTTGTATGCCACTACTAACGTTCTTAGGAAACACACATTTCTCCATATTCACCCTGTTATTAGTCCTGATGTGAAGTTATACAAAAATTAAATATTAGGCCATCATCTGTACATTATAAAGGGGGTATACGTTTTATGGCAGGTTGAAAATACAGTCTGAAATAATTGCTTGGAAAATAGAAACTTCTCCATATTCACCCCGTGACTTTCTCACGAGTTGGGATCATTAGGATTTTACTGACACACTTGTCTTGGTAATTCTTATTGGTTCGTTCTTTATTGATGCTATTATCAATCCTATTTATTACTAAATAACTGCATATTATTAAAAAATATAATTTAACATTTTTATTAACTAAATTGTTTCTAGAGCAGCAACATGATTTACAACAGCAAAGTCACTAATATCTCACTGGAAACAAATCTAACATGTCAGTAAAATAATCATATTCCTGACATCAACATACTGAGTGAAGTTTAGAAAGAATGAACAACTCAGTCCCTCCTGTCCTCCT